CTTGATACAGCATTTTCAGTTCCTCTTATTATAGGTCAAGTGATTAAACACAAAAAGCAAAACAAGATCTTCCTAAAGGACTATATACAAACACCAGATTATTATTTAATTTTACTTCTTTTTTTTCTTCCTTTTTTGTTGTTTTTTTTTTTTTTTTTTTTTTTTTAGAAGACACGCTAGCGCACGGAGATAAGAACAGAGAAAGCTGCTGTATCCTCTACAGGGGCGCGGGGGCGCAGGAAGGGGGAGGACCAGGAAAGGCTCTCAGTCTGCCTGCCCCTCCGCCCAGCCGCCCGAGCCCCCCGAAGCCGGGTGCTATGCCGAAGGGGAGCGGGTGGCAGAGGCTCCCCCTCCAGCCCTAGGCCAAGGAGCAGCCAAGGAGAAACCCCTGTGTCCGCAGCACGTCCTACTGCCGCGGGACTGGTTAAGAACAGGTACATGCAGAACAGCGAGGTGCCGGCCTGGTATTAGTGCAGGAGGGGCGCAGGGAGGATGGGGACAGAGCCAGGGCGATGCGACGAGATCAAGAGCGCTTGGGGAGGGAGGAGATGGTTTCAGGGTGGGGGTCCCAGCAGGGAGTTGTGCAGAAACTGTTAGGATCAAGGGGCATCTTTAAATACCAAGGGGGGAGCAGCAGGCAGAGGGGAGCCACGCAGCACCGAGGAGCTAGGGCAGCCGGGGGGCAAGTGGCCCCAGAGCAGCCCAAGCCAGGCTCTGGCTCGGCTCTGCGACAGCGTGGGAGCGGGGACAGGGATGCCAGGCTGGGCACAGGGAGAGCATGATCGGCCACACGGTTACTGCGATGGCGCTTGCATTGCTGCGGAGCAGCCTGTCCACTGGGATGGCGGCAGCCCCCTCCCCCTGGCCCCCCGTTCACTCTAATCCGATTTCTCCCCATCGTCATCTTGGTGAGCATCCCCATCGTGGCCGTTCTTGTCCTCCTTGGAGAGGTGAGCCTGGGAGCCCAAGGCTGAGAGTGAGAGGAGCCCGGTGCCGGCGCTGACAGCGGGGAGGGATGGGGGCTGGAGGCCCACAGGGAGCGGAGTCAGAGGCAGAGCGAGGGCTTGGAGCTGTGACAGCTGGTGAGCTTGAAGCTGCTGCTGTAGAGAATGATGGACAGACAGGAAGACAAGAGAAGGATATTGTCATTTTGAGTGTGCTTGGACCCCAAACCAAGGGCCTGGGCTGCCCAGACAGACTGTGTCAGCAACCAAGCTTAAACCAGGGACCTAAGGGTCCTGAAGAGCACTGCAGCCTCAGGGAGGGAGGGCAGGGGAGAAGGGGAGGGGGGGAAGGAAAGAAAGATATTCTAGAGTCCTCGGGCTGTGACAGCCTCAAGAGGACTCAATAGCATGTCCCCAGCACGACACATAGCCCCTTGCCCACAGGACATCTGGCCTCAGACTCTGGCATGCTCCAGAGATGCGGTTAAAGCCCTCCCAACCTTGACCAAGAACAGATGGTGTTTTCATGTCAAGGAGCTGCTGTGGTTCCTGCTCAAAACCAAAGCTCCTCTCCTCGCACTCTGCTGGGACAGAGCAGCAATCCACACTCCCCTGCAAACCCATGCCCATGCCATAACAAGTCCCATGCCAGCAGGGCCAGCCCCGCACCCACAGCCTCATCCCAGCAGGGCTGCACCACCGCACGTGGAGCAGCCCGCTCCCAGCACACAGGACACATCCCCAGGTCACAACTCCCCGGGCCAGCTCTGTCTTGAAGGCCAAAGGCAGAGATTCCCGTCCCTCTGAACCCAAGCGAAACATGCATCACGTACACGGATGATGGAGTTCAGTTCTGGCGCTGTAACCTGCTTGGCTCGTTCAATGGCTCCCAGGACTTGCTGCTGATGCTGGTGTGGCAAGAACAGAGGCATTGAGGGGCATTTCTAGTATCGCAGGGATGGACAACAGGGACCCAGCCCTGCTGGGTCCAACACACACACGCACACACACGTTATCTCAGCAGCTAGCACCGAGATGTCAGGGCACGGAGGCAGGCTGGTTAACCCCGCAGCTGGAAACACCTGCATGCACATCATTTGTGACAAGGACCTTACACCACTGAGGCCCACGGTAGCGAGGAGCAGGGAAGGAGACGCGCTGGCCTTGTTCCAGTTCCTCACCACAGGGTAAGCAGGTCTGCTCTTACTCCCATCCTTGTCCCGCTCTGCACAGCCCCAGCGATCCTTGGCCAGAAGGGTTCTAAGGTGGGCAATGCCTCTCACCCTGCCTCCTCCTCTCCTACCCAGACCTGACACAAAACAAGACCCTCCAAACAAACAAAACAAGCCCTAAAATCAGAAGCTCTTGGGAAGCTCCCCATTCCTGGGGGCACAGCCTGGGTCCCAGCTGCAGCAGCTGGAAGATGCTGCTGTGGACAGTGGCCCAGCGCAGCTGCTCCAAACACAGGCAGGAAAAACAGCTGTATCATGTACTTTAAAAAATAAAAGGCAACTGTACTTGCTCATCTGAGAGCACCAGGCCTGTCCATTGCACTCCAGCAACTGGATTTTTTTCTTTCCCTCTTGGCAGCAGGACATGGCTGAAGAGGGGGAAGGGGTTGCATTAAGACGCAAAAGGTTTAGTTGTGGCTTAGTTATTAGGCAGCTCTGATCTGATCAGCAAGCCACTTTGTCTTCCCCAGGAACAGGTGGGTGGGAAAAAACACAGCCTATCCCCCAACCCCACAGCTAACCCAGACCGAGGAACAGCCTCCGTCCCACAGCTACTCCAGACCAAAAACCCAGCCATGGGAACAGCTCTGGCGTTCAGCCTCTGCGGGGTTGTGTGGGGAGATGGACAGATACTGCACTAGAGGTGCTTCATCTTCCTCCTGCCTCGGGCAGCAACTCCAAGCCTTCCCAATTAATTTCTCAGGGGAGTGGGAGGAGCCCATCAACTGCATTAATTACTGAGGCAGAGGAACCAGATCTCAAGGAGGAGCCATATGGAGGTATTTTTTTAAATGCCCTCCTCCCCCAATTAGCCACCCAAAGCTCCCACCACCCGTGCAGAAGTGGCCAATGACTCGGGAATCACCGGTGGGAGAGAACAGAGCCCATCTTTGTCCACAGCTGCCAGCAAAGGGGACAGACAGACACATTAGCTACCACACAGCACCTAGGGGGGCTGCTTGGAGACCTGCAGGCCAAACATGTCTTGAAGAGCTCATCCCTGTGCAGGGGCTGAGAACAAGCGACAAGGTGACCCAGACCAGGGGTGAGGAGCTGCCTGTACGGGGGGGGCCCTGGCACCTCGCTGCCCTGCAGCAGGACGGGGGTCTCCGCTCCCCCCGGCCAATGCACCCCCAAGCCAGAGTCAAGGCTGAGCCGGGGACTCACCTCTTGCGAAAGGTAGGGCAGAACCTGCGCACAAATCCCGTTTAGCCTCTTGACGATTTCAGCCTAGAAGGTGAACAGAGAGGAAAGGCATCAGGTGGCTTGGGACTGACTGGCATCAGTGCCAGCTGCCCAACCTTCCCCCTCCCCGGGCAGGGCCTGAGTCCCTGAACAATCCTAAGAAAACACACTCCTCCTGGAAAGATGCTGGCAGCGTCCCAGTGCCGTGGGGGGTGTCACCTAACCCCCAAGGCCCCTCCCTATGTAGTTAAATGAATCAATGCTGCTGACTGCAGAGAGATTTTCGATATTCTCTTCCCTCTCCAGGTCTCAGATATTAATTCAATAAAGTCAGGAGCAACCAGAGAGGAAACTTCTTATAGACCCAGGTAGAGATGTGTTGAATTGTATTTGCTATGCGGACACAGACAGACACACATGCTGCCACCACCAAGACCCCTGCTCTTCTCCGGAGACGGGCTGCTCAGCCTCCCCCTCCCCAAAGGCAAGCGTTCGCCTGCTGCCAGCCTCCCCGCGGCTGACCTGCAACACTGGGGTTATTCAGGGAGACCACAGGGACCAGGCGGCTTCTTCACTCGCCTCATGCAAGCAGGTGGCAAATTCTGGGGCGCTATTTTTTTCTGGAAAAGAGTTTAGCTACCAGCAGATCACTTTCCAATGGAATCAAAAGAAATACAGAGCCAAAGGGTTTAGGCACGCACCAAAACCAGCCAAGGGGGCCCCACCAGCACCACAAGGAAGCGGGCTAGGCTGGAGGACAGTTCATGGGACAGCAGTGAGAATTTGTGGCTCAGATCCTTTACCATGATGCAGGCTTTCCCAGGGAAGCCAGTCTTGTGGGCTTACCAACAAGGGCAATGGGATTGGAGCCACCAAGCGCCTCTGCGGGGAGCAGAATTGTGCTGAGAAGCTTATAACTGAGCCACAACATACACACAACTTCGTGACTGGAAGCCAATGTTAGATAGAGTCAGGCTCAGATGAGGCTCTTCTTGTTAACAGCACAGGTAATTAGCCACTGGGGATAATTAACAACTTAACCACCAGTGAGGGTAATGAACAAACTTACTCAGGCTGCAGCAGAGTCTCCATCACAAGCAGGCCTTCTTAGAAGGTCTGCCAACACATTGCCTAATGACAGCCCGAGAGAAGCGCTCTCTGGCCCGACTGCAGCAGGAGCCCGGCAGGAGCCAAAGGTGTTTTTCATGTCAAGGTGATCACAACAACCCTTCCCAGGCACTGGGGAAGGCAGCAAGGCCAAGAACCCACCCGGGGCCTGGGAGGAGGGTTTGGAGGGACCTGGGGTCATCTCCTGCCCTCCACCCCAGGGCTCATGTCTGCTGACAGACTCTGAGCTGCAGCTCCACACCCTGCCTGCACTGCCTAGTCCGGTGCTTAAAGATGTGTTCAGGCCCTGGGGAGAAGCAGAGCCCGCCAGCAGCCCGGGGTGGGAGCGCTCAGTCCAGCACTGTGATCCTGAGAGGTGGGGGGATCCCTGCATTTCAAAGGCAGCTCTGACATTTTACAGGCTCATGGCATTTCTAGTTCCCAAAATACCACTGAAGTGACAGAGGGCAAAGCACAGCGGACAACCCACCCTCCATGGGAACTGGAGCACTTGGAAACGCCTTCCCCTTACCTGTTTGTGCATTTCAATATTCAGCCCGTAGGACATCTCGTAATACTGTAGAGCAGGGGAGAAGAGAACAAAAGAAATTGTAAGTCAAGTCTTCACCAGATAAAGAGGTTCCATACAGCAGCGCTGGGAACTACTGCTGCTTTCCTAGCAAGGTCTTCTACAAAGGCTGGGCAACAATGGAAGGAGAGAACAGGCCAGCCCTAGGAAACAAAGACAGCAGGAGGCAAACACAGACCATCCCTACGTCTGAGGCAGAAGCACTGAGCCCAGGCACTCCCTTCCCACCCTGCTCCAGCCTCACGCTGCTGCAGATGGAGACACGGGAACTGGCCAACTGGGCCCCACGCAACACGTGCCCCCCCCCCCCCGATGCCTTTCAGCAGTCTGCATCAAGGTGAGAGTGTGCAATGCTGCTTCAAACCTGGAAAAAGGCTCAGGGCTCCACAGGCTTCCATAGTCATGGCCAAAAGAGAGGCAGCCTGACCCTACAAACTTTGTCTGGCCAACATCCTAAAGCCCACATGGCCGCTTCAGCAGCAAATGGAAGATATCACACTGGGCTTCATCTAGCAAGTAACATATCCAGCTGCACACAGCTCCAGCTGTTTGGGAAGAAGCTGCATGGACACCACCCCACCCCCACTGCCCCAAAAAAAAGAAAATACCCAGAAAACCCCTGCACAGCAGCAACAGGCAGCTACAGAGCAATCTATTGGCAGAAGAAGCTAATTCCTGACCCCTGGAAGAAGCGGTTTTAAGGCCGATATTTGAGGGTTTAGAGATCTCCCTCAGCTTGCAAGCTGCAATCCTGAGTCCTCCAAAGGGAAAGAAAAATCCACATCTACGCTCATTTAATTCAAGGAGAAGATCACTGGCATTTTGGTACCGACACCATGAGTCTGAGAAGCACACAGCTTGGTATCGCCATGATCGCAGTCTGCTCTAACGCCGCTGCTGGCTCTCGAGGCTTCTTTGCATTCTGAAGATGGAACAGGAAGCAGGAGCCCGACCCCCAAGCTGCTAATTGTGACTTATTCAAAAATTGGAGCAGCTGTAGCAGCTTTGCACATTCTCAGAAACCCTCCTCTTCGCTTCCCGTGACTCGCGGTGGCAGGGAGCGACAGCAGCTCTGTACGACTCCAGCTCAGCCACGCAGACGAGACAGGAGCTGCTGTGCCTGCAAAGCCTCGAGCGCTGCACAACGAGCAATAGCCCTTCCCCTCTGCCGCCAACGGTAACCTGAATCAATTCTGGTGACTGTCAGCATTAAGGGAAAAAAAAAAAATATATATATATATAATCTCTCAGCCCCACCTGGAGATGAGAGTCTCCAAGCAGGCTGCAAAGCCCAGGAAGCAATCATTGATCACTGAGAATGGGGCAGGCTTCCCCATTAATACACAAGGAAAGCTGTAACCTCTTCTCCTTGGCCCCAGCCCCAAGCACACCTCGCTCCCCACAGCCTCCGAGCCTGGACACACCGGCAGTACCGGAGGATAGAGGGGCCAGCTCCCTCATTCCTGGTTTTAAAGTCCTAACTCTCCCTCTGAAGAGCTGCTGTATTAATTTCTACACCTTATCTCTTCCTTACAGGGCAGGTGCTGCAGCTGGCCAGCGGGCACCACCCCACCTTTACAGACAGTATCACAACCTCCTGTTAACCCCTTGATAGGAAAGGAACACACCACGGCCTTGCCTGGCACCCCTCCCCTCTGCTACAAGGGCTCTTCTGTGTGTGGGAAGACAGAGGCATTACCTGGCAGGCAAACCAGCACCCTGCCTGCAAGAACATGGCTGGTTCCTGGCAAATCTTCTCTTTAAAGAGTCACGGCTAAGCCTGCTGCCTGCCTGCAGCACCGCATCGCATGCCTGTACCAGGCACTGCCCCGAGATTTGCACAGTTTGTGCCGGGATACACGCACCGGTGAGACGTGCTAGCGCTTTGCACCGCGGCTGCGCGAGGCTGATGGGGTCACAAGGAGGTGCAGAGGGTTTAGCTCTCGCATACCAGCTGTTTTCTGCTTCCAACTCGCACCAGACTTCTGGGGTTTCCCAGCTTCTCAACTTCCGAGTGCTGCTTCGCCTTTCACTGGCCATGACTCTCCCAGAGTCCCCAGATGCCTGCACACCGGCACCTTGCAGCTCCTTCTGGGTGCCTAAGAGCTGTCACTTCCCCAGGGCACACGGAGCATGGCCAAGCAGCCAGTCAGTGCTATCGCCACCCATCAGGCAGCCCAGCCACTGGACCCGTCCGTTTCCCATGTCCAACAATTCTCTGCCGTGTCCCTGCATTTCAACAACCCACTGCACGCAGACAACGCAAAACATAAAAAAATCCCTGCTT